CACATAAAGTGGGGGGGGGGGAGGGATTGAAAAGGGCAGGCATGGTCACTTAAGCAAAATTAATGACCCTTGAGTCACACAAACTACCAATTTTCATTGCTAAACTGTAATAATCTGTCTCATTTGTCATCTATTCACTGAATTCTTGTATCGCTTTTACGATTGCTACTAACCAAGTAGAATGTCTTAGTTATAGTGCAGACACGGGTGCAGTGAACAGGCACCTTCAGTTGTTTTTTGGTCAGGAAAAAAAATGAAATTTATACCATAAAAACCAGTTTGATGGTAGAATGGGATTGGTGGTACTAATATGATAAAATTTATGAGGATCTCAAATTACCAACAGTTAAAAATGTGGTTCTACAATTTTGATAGGCAACCTGCACTTCCACAGATCTTGAAATTGCCTTGAAGCAAAATAAATTTACGAGTTCCAGAATTTGTAATGACTGCAAAAGTTGTTTCCACTCCAAGCTTATGGCTTTTTTTGAAATCGCAATCATACAAGTATGATTTTTTGCATTTGGGTAAGAATTAAGTACACTTCATTAAGAATCCATTAAAACTCCAAACTTTGAAATGGAACCTAACCTTAGGAAACTGAGGTGGTAGGGATGAAAAAGTGACGGGTGGATATCATTGGGCTCTAGGTAAACGGGATTGCACACAGTGGAATGACCGCTAACTCACATATTAATGGGGGCATTAAATTCATCTCTTGGACTAGGGTTGGTAACACCATGTTCTCTGGGATGGCACACATTACTAAAAATACACAAAGATGCTATTATTTGCAGTTGGGTTTTAACAGAACTTCAACTGATAAATCTGCGGTCCCATTCCAATATAGAAAAAATAAATGGCAGAAGATGTAAATGATGCTTTGTACACACCAGTGAGAGTAATTTTTACAGCGGACGGTTGCCACCGAACATAGAGCTAAGCAGTTATGTGTTTTTATAACAAGGTGCAGCACCCCGAGACTTCCCTGAAGATAAAAGAAGACACAATACTGGGGCGGAATATGCATACATATATATTCTACACACAGAAGGTATCTGGGCTACAGTGGCAAAGCCAAGAGTCGCTCTTCATCAACGGTAGTATTAGATGAGCTTCTTCTTAACCGGTAAACATGATGATGACTTGGTAGGTACCACAGATGTCCCAAAACTATGAAATGACTTTCCTCAATGATGAGCCTGATTTCCGCCTGAGGTAAAACTTAATTATTTATTTGTGCTACTTTTATAGACTCATCTTCCACATAGTACAAGAGTGCATTTCTGAGCTAGGCTATAAAATAGTCTCTCACTCAATGCAAGAGGAATTGGCTTCGAATTTCAGTAGAAGCATCCACGTCGGAAATGGGAGCGTGGTCGTCTCAGCCGCCACTATCTGTGGAAATGCGTTAGGCTTCAGCAAAGTACTCGGCTCTAAAATGTGGATTTTGAGTCCCTTTTTATCAGGATGCTTCACTTGGGAACAGACTGCTAAAGTGCCTCCCAGTTAGTATTCGTCTTATCACTAACACAGATGTGTTAATTCTTGAACAATGCTGTTTGTGATTTCACTGATGGTTAAGTATAGGTTTCATCAGAAAGGACGGCAATAATTTTGAATCTACGGTCCCTCAAATGACTCGAATGTAGCAATATGACCGTAGACAAGAGAATAAGGAAATAAGGGGATAGATTGAAACGTTTACAAGCTTGCACATGAAGTGTCGAGTAGGCAAGATAGTGCAAGTTACCCAAACCTATGCTGCAATTTAAAACAATGTTCCGCAGAAAAAATTTGATCGAATTTTCATTTAAACACCGAGCATTATTCCCACAGGGCCTAGAAATGAAGAGACTGTAATACGAACACCTTGACTAGGTGAACAGCAAAGCTTTCATTCGTCTCCGTACACACAACACTTCTGGATGTTTCTGGCAAGGCTACCCTCAAAGTTCTGCACCTCTGACCTTCTTTAGAAGCACCAAGTTTATGATATGGCCCCTTAATTTGCGAAGAATAGGGGAAGCAGGTCAAATCGTTTTAATAATTGGCAATTTGAAAAAGTCGAGTTAAGCTCAGATCCAAAATTTGTTAGAAGGTAATTTCGTGCAGTGTTCTTTCCCATACTTAAAGCATATGAAGTTGTACTAAACAATTTTAATGATCTCTCAGTCCAATTTTTCCCATTTAACCATTATTAAACAACATCTCTAGTATCCAAAGGTCAAGAAATGTATTTTGACTGCTCCTGTAGCCTCAGTACGGGAGGTTCTGTGGTCTTGTGAACAAGTATTTATTTGACCATAAAATGGTGTCTAGCACTTAGAGTAGCATAGAATATCCGCGACATTGGGTGATTCCTTAAAAATGCTAAAAACATCATGTAAATCGCGCTTACAACGGCCGGAAAAAATGTTTTCTATGAAAACAGCTTAATGATAACGCTGTGCTGAAGAGCACAAACAAACAAGCAAACAACTCGAAGGAAATTTTTCGCTATCATTGGGTAGCCTTCATCCTTGCTTTATTCAGCTTAGAACTTCATGTAAAGTGCTATAAACCATGTTTCTAAACAAGTTTGTCCGTATAAAGGAAACGGAACACCGCTGAAATAAGAGCAGGAGAACTGCGCATACTACGTAATAAAGCACATCAACAATTCTTTTATGCATCGCTTTCCTCTTAGTTCCTGTAAACGAGGAGGGAATTCTCTCCAGTCTTAAGAAAATCATTGTAGCACAAGCTGTGTTGCAATGAAATCCGCAATTTCCAGTGTATCCACTGCACTTCATTTTTAGAAAAATACCATGTACGATCACCACATGGTTTCGATATACATCATATTAATTTTCTTTTATGCAGCAATCTCCTTTCTTTTTAAAAGGTTGCCTTCACACATCATTAAGTAAAACATTAGAGAGATCAATTTGAATATTGAGTAAGAAAAAAAGGCTTTATTGTTGACTTAATGTGGCTGGTTTAAATAACTACGCACTGTTGGCGAATCAGAAGTGCACAACAAAATTTAATTCACCTAAATTGCAAAGAATTATGATTGTTTTTATATATTTTAAGGGTTTCACCAACCCCGAAAGTCTCAAAGCAAAGGGAACATAGCACGGCTGCTGCTGCTTCTGAATCTTCTAGGTAAAATTCGGCTAGAAATGAGAGAATTTTCCTCATGATTTATCAACGCATTTAGCATCTTGTTAATGCTGATGGGGGGAGTGTGTGTGTGCATTTGGGTTAATGTGTTAAATACCTCTAATGGGAGGCTTTAATGCAATTGTAA